TGCCTGGGCAACTTGACGAGACCTCATCTCTACAACAAATCAAAAATTAGCTGGGTGTGGGAGCGCGCCTGTAGTTCCAGCTCCTTGGAAGGTTGAGGTGGAAGGATCGCTGGAGCCCAGAAGGTTGAGGCTGCGGTGGCCGGAAGTGGCCATTGCACTCCAGTCTGGGTGACAGAGTGAGACTCCAACTCAAAAAAAAAGAACAACAACAACAAAAAATAATAATTAAAAGAAAAAAAATCTTAGAATGGTAGAAAGCGAGAGGCCCAAGGATGTTCCTGTGTTCAAGTCAACGCATGAGGAACATGACTTGGGCAGTGAGTGGGAGGTGGAGGGAATCCTTGTCCCTGTATCCCAGTGGGACGGGACCCCGGAACTGATGTGTCCAGTGGCCCTGCCACATGAACTGACCCTCAGTGTTCCAGGTCTCTCGACACCATGGGCACCCGATTCCTCCTTGCGCTGTGTCTTGTCCTCCTGATACTGGGATTCGGTGAGTGTGGGCTGTGGGGGAGGGGGTCCGGGGAGGAGGGTGAGCTCCAAGCATCTTCCCAGCCTACTCCTTTCCGGACCCTGCGTCTCCTGCTCTTCCCTCCTCTTCCCCCCTGCTGCAGCCCCAGGGGCTCCCTGACACCCTCCCCCCCTGCAGAGGTTCAGGGGGCCCATGTGCCCCAGCAAGATGAGCCCGCCAGCCCAGCCCTGCTGACCCAGATGCAGGAGTCACTCTCCAGTTACTGGGACACAGCCAAGGCGGCTGCCAAGGGCCTGTACCAGAAGACATACCTGCCAACAGTGGATGAGAAACTCAGGTAGCACCTACCCTTGGCGAATCAGGGACGGGCCCCTGATACCTACTGTATCTGGGACTCCTTGAGCCCAGGCCCTCAGACCCTGGAGTCCAGACCCCGGTCCCTCCTCCGTCAGATCCAGGAGTCCAGACCCCAGTCCCTCTTTTCTCAGACCTTCATATGGAATCTGGGCCCCGGCCCTCCTCCCTCAGACCGGAGTGTCCAGGACCCCGCCCCTCCTCCCTCCAACCTATTGTCCTTTCTCCCCAGGGACATGTACAGCAAAAGCACTGCAGCCATGACCACTTACACAGCCATCTTCACTGACCAGCTCTTTTCTATGCTGAAGGGAGACTCCTAGCAGGCAGCCCCCCAGTCATGGGCGAGGGTAGAGCCTAGGATGGGACCGCACCCTCACTTCCCAGCAGTTCTTGGCATTCTGCCCCCAACTCCAGCCTGAATTCTTGTCAATAAAAAAATCCAAGTCGGTTCTCTTTGATGTGGCTGCTTTTCTGAGGACTCAGGCCAGGATGGAGGGACTGATATAGTCTAGCCAACATTTAATGAGTGCCTACTGTATATATGTAGCTCTAACCTGGAACCTGGCCCATGGGAATAAAGAGTGAATAACAGCCGTGCTCGGTGGCTCAGCCTGTAATCCCGCGCCTTTGGGAGGCTGAGGTGAGTGGAT